CGATTTTATTATTTGGATCCTCTCCCTAAAGATTTGAAAATGTTGAGTGTTTCGTGTCATAGTATTGTTTAATATTACACTATTTGCAAACACTATCATTAAATTACATATCAAGCATGAAATTCCATTACCTTGCTCTACAAAAAAGTATTTAAAAGTGTACTTCAGAATCTTTCTTTTTGTTTTCAATCCATTCATTCATCATGGCTACTAACTATTAAAACCACATGGAACAAAAATTCTACGTTGGTTCCTCTTTCAAACTATTATTAAAGAAAACGTTAAATATTCAAAATAAGAAACTTTTTAACTAAAAAAAAAAAACTGTCATCACTGAGTACAAGGTGTCTGAAATGGAGCTATCATGCTACCAAATTAGAACCATCATTTACTTCCAGTTCTGTTGCAAAACGCCAGTTATAGAATGTCACCAAATCATGTGTACAGCCTTAGGTACTAATGTTGTATCCTATGATGCTATGAAGGTTTGGTACTGAAAGTTAAAAAACAAGGGCTATGACATTCAAGAAGGACGGCGCTCTTGCCGACCTACTTCTGTTGATGAGGCTTGCCTGCGAAAACTTATGAAAAATAAGTACGCAGCCACCCGAGAGCTTGCTAAGGAGTTAGATGTTACTGCCATTAATCGTGCTATGCATCGCATAAACTTAATGCACAAGTTCAATGGCTGGGTGCTACATGAGCTGACTCAAGCAAATAAGGACAGATGTGTTTGAATCTGCACTAATCTGCTCAAATATTAACGCAAAGACCAAATTCTGGACTGGATTGTCACTTGTGATGAAAAGTGGATTTACTTCAATACAGGCTGAAAAGGGGTTGGTCTGCTCCCAGTGAGCTCCTTGGCATTGCTGCAAAGCACAATTTGACTATTAAAAGGATCATGCTTTGTATCTGGTGTGACTGCTCTGGTATTATCCACAAAGAGTATCTAGGAAAAGGTAAGCCCTTGACAATAAGCTGTAGAGCGAGATGCTAGTCCGTGTCGACGCTGCTATCAAGGAGAATGTAGAACTGAGTTCTGGCGAAATAAGAAAATGCAAGATCACATGTGTCTGCATTCACTGGCTGGACTCTGTACAGACTCGAAAGGGAAATTTTGCCATACATACCATAATCCTGACATTGCTCCTTTGGACTTCTACCGTTTTTACACTTGTGGCAACATCTTGCTGGTGTTATCTTCCATTCTGCACAAGATGTACAAAATGAGGTTGATCGGTTTTTAGACTCGTGGCCACCAAGTTTTGGGGCTTTGAAAACAACTACCGCATTTCCAGAAAATCATAGATTTGGGTGGTAATTATTACCTGCACTAAAAGTTCTGCTTTCATGTTTTTTCCTAACTTTATGAATTCATGTCTTCTCTAGCATATTTTTGTCACCGATCTGCTAAATCTACATGTCCCATATGCTTACTGTACTTTGAAAATACGGATGGACACTATATATTTTCAAAATCTTTTCTTCATGTAGCAAAACATGGTTTAGATTCACAGTTTGTGAAAATAATACATAACAGTTTTTTTTTTTTTTAAATCAAACCAAGGTATCCAAATTTATGCTGTCATAATTATTTCCAAGCTTCCCTTCCTGGCACATCCAGGCATGCTTTTCTGATTTTCACGAGTTAGTTCTACATGACAATTATACCGAATTGATATTAATCTTGCATGAAATTTATGCCAGTGAAAAATATGTCAAAATAGACTCTGTGGCCTTTGTTTTTAAGGGATTTTATTAAGCTGTGTGATAACCTAAACTTTTTCCTGGTCTTGGTATCTTGATCCTTGATGTATATTCTAAATGAGAAGTGCAAAGCATCCATATTTTTAACACATGCTTAGACGGTTTCATAGGCACATATTACAAAATCCCTAATCTACTTTTAAATTTTAATTCTGAGGAACAAAATATAGCTGATATTTGTTTCATAAGTATGAAATGACAGGCTCTAATTTTTATGCATAGGTAACGTTATCTTCAGGACTTTTAGCTTCAGTTTCCCTGTCTGATAAATGAAAATAATACTCGCTTTGTATAAAACCTTTTTTTTTTGCTCATTATTTGCCCCACTATTTAATTTCCAAGCATTGTGTTATTGAATCCTAATCACTCATGCTTCACACTTTAACAATACTCATTATGAGAACTGTAACAAATGTCCATACTTCCTTGATGAATTTTCTTTCCAATAACAGTCAATACAACCATACAAACTTGCACAGATTTGTGCATATTTACTTGTGTTTATGTGAATTATATTATAAATTTCATCTGTAAGAAACAACTTTACCCATTGTAAAGGTGAGGCAGCAACAGGTAAATTATGAATTAGTTCGAAAAAGTTGTTAAATGGAGGCAAAGTTATGGCATCACTGTTAACAGTAGCAGACCACTCTTTTACTAGATTTTCCTTACACTTCTGAAGCATCCGCTTCCAAATCTGTGACTATCTTCCAGCTTCTCCTATAATCAACACTGGTTATAAAGTCACATTTAAAAAGATAAACCTAAACTCAATTTATAATCGTAAAAAGATAAAGGCGATTAAAGAGCTGCAAAAGGTTTTTAAAATTTTTTTTTTATGATTAAAAAAAAAAAAGCTGCAAGCTGCATACAATAAAGACGAACTGACACAATGCATATGGAGAAACTGCACCTTACGCTATTGTGAACTTTAGGGGGAACAGAAAACACAGCATTGTAATTTTAGCCATTCAGATAGCTCCTGACTGTTTGAATAATAGGCTATGTCCGGCACTTTAGCAGTGAAAGAGTTAAATGACCAAATATTGTAGAAAAGCAATACAAAAATTGCAAGCAAAATGTTACGAATTGCAAATTGATTCAAAAACAGCTGTATTCTTATAGAAGCTCTTTGCTTTATTAATATTGTTGGACAAAGGAATATATGGCAGCGAAATTTTGCAAAGAAAAACTGGAGATACTCATGTATTAGTCCAATCACCTTACAGTTGTTTGGTGAATTTTATGGAAGAAATAGAATGATGATTTATAAAAAAATTATTACATATATATTTTCCATTTAAAATAAGCATTTAACTTTAAAAAAAATAAATACTTCTACTTAAAAGCAGGCGTTTTTTTAATTCTTATGGAAATTTCCTGCAGACTGCTTTGAGAGGAGATTTAAAGAAATTCTCTTCTATAGTGATTTTATATTATACTGTATTCCTTCAAAAATGTTACCACAGTTTCTTACACACTAGGCAAATTCCCCTAACATATTAATATCAAATTTAAGATAAAAAGATTACAACTTGTCAATAAAAACCTTTGAAACTTACAATATAACAAAAACAACTCGTATGAAACAGAGACGTTTTATTAATTCTCCACACGTTAAGAGTTTGGCCTTGAAATTCCCAAAAAATGTCATGAATAAGTGGTATTTTTATAACTCCAAAATGAACCTCTCGTATTGTACCTCGGTTTGTTTTCTTCTAATATATATCCATTCTCAAATTAGATGTTTCAGAAGTTAGCAGAAATTTTTACGTGAAACAACTTGGCAAGCCACCCTATTACAGTCAAAAGTCGTTAATTCGGACACCCATAATTCGGAATCTATAATCCGGACCTCAAAGCTAAAAACTTTCTGCGTATGCTCCGCATTGACACATGCGCATAGGCGTTTACGCGTGCGCGTAAGACCTCTTACGACTGCGCATATGCGTGTGAGCAAGCGCAGAATACGTTTTCGCCTGCGCGTTTAATGTATAACGGACGGTGTAGGCTAAAATTATCTAATTATCTATTTCAGTTAATGTTAATGATTGCGTTGTTCCTTAATCTTCGAATAGGATCCCGCTTATTATTTTTTGCAGACTGTAAGAGCAATTTTATAAAAGTAAACTTGAACTTTCGATTATGTCAAATAGAATTTCCGATGCTGGAACTTCCAAAGGATCTACAAAACGAAAGTATGTTTGCAATGTCCAACAAAAAAATGGAAATTGCTGAAAAAAATGACATGAAGAATGTGACAGAGAGGTTAGTGAAAACGAAAAAAATTTCCATTGACCAGTTAGTCGGTATTCTCGGCACAGCAATTAACGGGACTTGAACAGCAGAACTCTTTAACTGAAAAGAAATTATGTCTGTTTATAGAATTAAAGAGAAAGTATCACATAAAATGAAGCAACTTAAACAACTTACATTGAAAGAAATGTTTAATAAAGTAAACAAATAAATATTAAGCTTTTTTTTTTTTTTTTTTGTAAATTTTGATACCCTTTAGATCATAATTGTTCTTTATTTCATAAATTACGGTTTCATATTTTTAATTTTAGAATTTCTGCATGCCATCTTACGAGATTTAAACTGATGATCTATAATCCGGAATCGCCGAAGTCCCGACGAGTCCGGATTAACGACTTTTGACTGTATATGGAATTTTATGTCCATAACACCTAGAGGGTTAAAGCTGAAGACAGAGATGAATGTGGTTGCCAGAGTCTAGCACATTTTGAAACTTTGGCAATTTCTACTAAAGTGATTGTGGTAATACATTAAGTATAATGAATGACCTGTTTAAGATTTTTTAAATTCCTTCAAAAATTTTGATGCCCCTTCCCCATTCCTTCTCTTTCGGTCTTAGTTTAACTGCATCATACATTCTTATAAAACTGGTTTTGTGAAATTTTTGTGTTGCTCCTTTTTTTGAATCCCTAAATACCTTTTTAAGACATCAAGGAAAGTGATCCAGCTTTGATAAATACCCAAACACAACTATCAATTGGTATAGCCACCTCCGAGAAGTACGCATGCCATTTATTAACGGAAGGGGAGAAAAAAAAGGTTACACTGGATGAACTGTTTAATTTGACATCATGACACCTAAGCACACATTTCTCTACAAAGTCATTGATAACACTGTGACGTTTCAGTTGACGTATAGATAATCAGAAAGTATACAATCTTTTTTTTTTAAATACTCTTAAAGAAAAGCTCACCTTCTGGTCTTCATTCAACTCTTTTCCATTTGCTGCTTCATTTTTATAATTATCCAATTTCACCTATAAAAGATAGACACATTATATATACAGATAAAAAAATAGTAATGGCTACAATTAGCATTTTGAACTATACAGTACACACATCTAGTATTTCTGAATTGCTGATTCTGTATGACTTTCTACATTTAAAAACTGGCAATAAACTGAAAGATTAAAAATAAGGGAAGTAAAAAATATTCCCTCTTACAAATCAGAAATTTTATCAAGTCACATATGCGATACGAAACTTTGCATTCTTATGCAGAAACAAAAGACTAGTAATAAACTACTCCCCTCCAAACCAATTAGTATAAGATACATTAGGAAACTACAGTGAATTATCTATACAGAAACTGCAGGGTTTACTAGCAGGAGTGATACCAGCTGTTAGCTCTATATATAATACTATACCACATATTATACCACATAAAAAGAAAGTAAGCAACTCAATGCAACCAATTATAAGTAGCAACAGAAGGTTGATCTTTACTGTAGAGTACCCCTTGGTTTGTGGGGAAAAAAAATTGGCAAGTGGTTTTAGTTGTTCGTGAACTCTGGAAGCCTGCTGCGTGAAATAGGTTTCTCAATAGCCCTAATGTTGATAATGTTCATGAAACTAGCCTTGGGGAAAATTGTGCGAATATTGCCAAATGTGTTGTGATAAATTGAGATTTGGGCTATTTTTTGTAATAGTAACCCTATTTGTATGGCCCTTTTTTTTTTAACTCTTAGCATTCTTTTCAATCAAATTTAAATTTTTAGCAATTCTTTTCAAGCTGTGTTTGGTTGAACATATGTTGGTGGTTGTATTTTGACATGGATACCATAATTTGAGTATATCTGACATTACGACTATAATTTCTGATTGCTCGAAGGCGTACAATTACCTTTCAGACGAAGGCTTTGGACACCTAACAATAAACCATGGCCTTCAATTTAAAAATCTGGATACAAGTGCTGACATTAATAAAATAGAAGGAACGTGGCATGCAGTTTAATATGATTTAGGCAATAGGAAAACGAGGACAGCTTGGACTATTATTTGGCCGAATATGTGTGGCACAAAAAAGCCCAAGGGGAGGGAAATCTATTTGTGGCTTTCTTGGAAGCTAATATATGTATTGCTTTGGCTTGTCCGCCATAGCGGATGAGACGAAGCAACCACAAATTTAATTGAATTCCTTACGTGCAGGATGAAGGAGGAGAGCATGAACGTACACCAGTGAAAAAAGTTATGGTAAAAAATTGAAGTTTCATTTATTTATTCGTCTCTGTGCGTTAATTTTTGTTAAAAGATTTGTTGTTTAATGTTTTTATGTTAGGAAATACTTATTTTGGGTTATTTTTTACTCTCTGTTTGTGTATTTTTGGTTACTTGTTCATCTCTGTGTGTTAAAACAGCGGCAAATTTTTTCTGGTTAACATGATAGTTTTAACTTCCTGATTTTGTTTAAGTGAAAATAGATTGATGTGTACATGGACAAATTTAAGACAGTACGGAATGCCTAGTTTGTGAAATTCTCCGATTTTTTCCAAGTTAAAATAGGTCGATGTGCACATAGACAGAGTTTGTGTAAGTCTTTGAATATGTATGTTTTGGTTTTGTGTAGCGAGCGGAAGGATCGGCACCATCTTGAAATTGGAGCCAATCCTTCCTGGCTGTGATCTTGGCATCAAAAAAAGAGACAATTCGCCAAGGCGTACTGTAGAGTAAATTTTAACTACAACAGAATGATTAAAAAAAAAAAAAAGATGACTGCCATTAAAAGTACAACATAAAGTAATATGCTTCAACTTGCGGTTATTTATTAATTGCAGCGATTATTTATTTCAACATCGGACACTGGATATTTTGACAGAAAACTCATTTGTAAAATTGTCCAGTGGCCAAAGGGATTGAATATGTTTATGTGCACACAATTCTTATGTGTGTACGTACAGTAACACATGTAATGCAAGTACAAGCCTGTTTCCCTTAGAAACTTTTCACAAAAATATATCATACATCAGAGACTTTACATGCTATATTACAATCATTAATCTACAAGAAATTTTTTCATCTTTTATAATGATAATGATAAGCTGGTCACTTCATGGAAGAATTTTCTGTATTTATATATTGCAGCTATTACCTTGGTGACTTTTTACAGGAGAAAAAGTATGATGAATTAAAATAGGTAAAAATTAGTTTATATACATACAAAAAATATGTGAAGAGCATACTTCAAATTTGAATTTACTATGATCCCTTTTAATCTTCATTTTAATTTGGTAGCCCTAAATCCCTTTCTGTCCCCAAAATAGTATATACTTATAATATATCTACCGAAGTTGTGCCAATTCGAAATAATCTGTATCATATGCAGTGACTCTCTCAGGTTCGTTCCCAGCTTGCCCGCGTACTTTCCTAGAATCGCCACCCCTAGGATTACCGTCCCAAAAATTAAAAAAAAAAGTTCAATGATTAATAAAATTTTTATTTAATATTCACTGAGTACTTACAATGAATTTCACATATTTAGCCCTGGTATTGCGAGAGTCAGGCTGCCCCTGATTTTATTTTCACTGTCCACGTACTTTTACATTCTGCTTCTGAATGCATCACTCATTTCTATCCATAATGCATTGTTTTTAAGATTTGCTATGCTTCTAAAAATGTGGAGTACATGTTGCACACATAATAATGATATATGATTATGTGTCTCAAGACTTACTTTATCCAGGAACAAATGTTGCATTTACAGCTACATTTGTATGCAGGTTCTGCCCGTCTATCTACACTATAAATCCTGCACCATCTGTAACCACTGAGCATGATTAAAAAAGTACACTCATGTCCATAAATTAAGGATAATTCAGAGCCATGCGGAAATCGAACTCTAAAAATAAATATATCACCTGTAAAATCACTACACACATCTTCAAGAATCATATGAAAATTTCAGGAAGTAACCAGATGACACCGATGGTACTTCACAATGACGAGAATGTAAGAAAGTGATATATAACGAATACAGGCAAAGAAGTAAAATTGTTCGCAGGCACTTTATAAGCATTTCAGTGCAATAACCGAATAGTTATGACACAAAGGACGCATTTGGATGATTTTTTACGTGGTAGAATTATCGGCCGTCTGGAATGTGGGCGTACCCAACTGGAAGTATCAGACAAACTTGGAATTGCCCAGAGTGTCATCTCCAGGCCTTTGGCAACGATTCCAAGATGATGGTAATGTGAGTAGACGTTACAGCACAGGTCGCCCCAGAGTTACAGCGCCGAATAAGGACCGGTATTTGGCAGTTACTGCCAAAAAAAACAGGTGGAGCACAGCCTGAGACCTGCCTCGTCAGCTCTCTTCAGCCACTGGTACGACAATTTCAAGGCAGACCGTGTACAGACGCTTAGGGCAGATTGGTTATATGTTCGTAGACCTGTCAGATGCGTTCCACTTACTGCAACTCACTGTCGCCTGCGGTTAGCCTGGAGTAGAGAGAGCATGCACTGTGGACACCGCAACAGTGGGCTTGTGTGATGTTTTCCGACGAGTCCAGGTTTAGCTTGCAGTCTGATTCTCGCCGGACTTTCATATGGAGAGCTCCAGGTATTCGTTACCACCAAGAAAGCATCATTGAACGACACCGTTACGGTGGTGTAGGAGTGCTCGTTTGGGGTGGAATTATTCTGGGTTCCAGAACTGACCTTCATGTTCAAATTGGAATCATGACAAGCCAAATCTATCGGGACGTCATTCTGGAACAACATGTACATTTGTTTCGGGGCGGCCATGGGTGCACAATTGTGTTTATGGATGACAACGCCAGTCCTCACCGTGCAAATATCGTAAGCGAATGCCTTCAATCGGAGGATATCACCCGTACAGACTGGCCAGCATTCTCACCAGACTTGAACCAGTAGAACACGTGTGGGACATGCTTGGCCGACGAGTTGCAGCCCGTCAACCTCCTCCTACATGTCTACCGGAACTTCGGAGAGCATTGCGTTTTAAGTGGTGTCATATCCCCCAAGATCTGATCGATAATCTGATATGTCTACCGGAACTTCGGAGAGCATTACGTTTTGAGTGGTGTAATATCCCCCAAGATCAGATCGATAATTTGATACTCAGCATGCCTAGGCATTGTACGGACTGTATTGCATCGTCTGGGAGACATACAATGTATTAAAAATCATACCAACCATGTAATATTGTTTTTTTGTAAACAGGTTTTTTTTTTTTTTTATTTGCTCCAGAGAGAAAAAAATTGCTAATTTTTTAATAATATCAAACATATAGCATCTTTTTTTTTGCTCTTTACCTTTTGTTTAATAAATAAGCTTTACAAATAAGTGAAATTTGTTTTGCTTCTAACTCTTCCTTTGCATGATTTTGCATTAACCTTAATTTATGGACATGTGTGTATTTGTGTCTTTTCTCGCTGTGCATCCTAATTTTTTTTACACACATATTTTATGTTTTAATTATATATTTATACTGAAACCAATCAATAAACTTACTCACATTCAGGATTTTGTTTCTTTTATTTTCAAGGAAAATTCCCGGCTATTGTTTAAGAAGAGATTAAAAGAATTTTTTTTTGCAATTTTGCAGCAATATACTGCATTCCTGGAGAAATTTTAACCCACTTTCTTTTACTGCAAGCAAGTCCTACCAGTGCACATTTTAAAATTAAATTAAGACTATCATTATTCGCCTATAAAAACCATTGGAACTTAAAATACAACAAAAAGAATGCACAAATGGTGACACTTTTTGTTAAAATTAAAAACCTGCAGCATGTGGCAGTGACAGTTTCACATATATCTGAAAATTTGGCAACTTAGGAGGTTGTGTTAACACGCATATACGTCTTTTTGTTGTATTCTGTTCTTCATCAGTTTTATGAATAAAGAGCTATTCTTTTTCTTAATCTTTTTGCAACGGCGCACTTTTGTTTAAGATGCTCGTGCGGTACGGAAGGGAATCGAATGCAGTCACCGTACAGGACGGAGGTTTTGCATTGCTAAGCCTAATTTTATAAAAAAAATCAAGAAAAAAAAAAAGTTTCAATTCTAACCTCGTAATTTTTGGTATCATTTTAGATTATTACTTGAGCTCTTATATATGTTAAAATTAGCACTTAATAACGTTTTTTTTCTTTATTTTACATGAAAATATACTTAAAAATGTCCTTATCTTGTAAAATAATTTTCAGAAGCACTATTCAAATTATTCCAAAGTTTTCATTGATAAAATCCATCAATACAGTCTAAAATTAATAAAAGAACACAATAAAGCCTATTTACAGTAAGAAGTAACAAAATTTAAAATGAAGACTGGGCTAATCTTTGGAATATGGTAACAGGTAGTTTGGCGACATTTTGACAAGGCGATAAAGGTTACTAGCTAGGACTTTAGCAGTATACATGGATAGAGTCAAGAATGTGGGCAATGCCATTTTTGTGCAATTCTGGGATGTTTTTTTTAAGTGAAAATAGGTTGACATGTACATGGGTACCGTGTATGTGGAATTCTTAAAAACGCGGCAAGCAATTTGCGATTCTGCACTTTCTCCCAATTTCGCACCTAATCTTCGTCATGATTAAGCACTTTTGTTCCATAAAGGTTCTATCATAAGCGTAATTCGGCTAGCAGATTGTTGGAAAAAAATGTTGAGTAAAAAAAAAAAAAAAAAGGACTACTTTGTGAAAAACAAAATGGCGTCCAAACAAAAACTAGCAGGCTACTGTAGCAGGGTTGGTCGCCAAATTTTCGCCAAGTTACCATAATCCATAGATTAACCGAAGACTGAGTGTGGTAAATCTCGAAGCACGGAGAAGCATCACTTTCTAACTCTTAGAAAAAGTATCACTTTAGACAAAGAATCATCACTCTTATCTGCGTTAGTAAATGGTTCATTAACCATATGAGGTTATTCTTCCTCTGATAAACAAGCCTTCGCGCCATAATAGACAAGAGGCAAGACTTTCAGAAATAAAAAGAGAAAAAATGGAAATATATCTGAAGTCAATGCAAAACTGACTAGGCTGTCTAGTAACCCTGAAAGACTGTATATAGTAGAGGAAAAAATAGAATTAAAAAAGAAATTGGATACAAATCAGACACGCGAATATCTACATTAGCGCACGGCGATTTAAAGAGCTCACATCTGTTTACGCTTTCGCTCCCCCCCGCCCTCGCAATAGTTGATGAGTAAAATACTAAAGTCAGACAAAATATATCAAACTCAAGGTCAGGAACCTAAAATTGTGTTCATTTCAAAAGTAATGGACATAGAATGCCCTCTAGTGGCGTTCAGAAAAACATTCCAGCTTAAAATGCGTATACGCATCACCCACCCTTTGAATGCAGTCTCTAGCGATGCGTGGATGGGATGCATGGCTGTAAGAGACGTTCTTAGGGAATGCGTATATGAGACGCCCGTCCTGAAAGGGTTAAACTCACTTTTAAAATGTATGCTTGAAATTGCACGAATACAGTATTTTAAGGCAAAGTTGCTAAATGAACAATGCTTCCAATCAAAGCGATCGCTATGAAATTTCTTCCATAACCAAATCAGATTTGAAATCAAGTGTCCCGACTGTTTTTTTAAAAAATATACAGTTGAAATGTTAAAATATTTATGTGCATAATTCTTTACAATGAAAAGCAACTGCTCTTTTTTCTCTAAAATTCGACAAACAGCACCAAGGTGATTGCAATAAAATGCAAGTACCCAAAAAGAACACACAGTATGATAACTGCGACTTTGGAAACTGGATATTTGTCATGCATTATTTTTATGTACATGGTTACCAGAGTTGTGCATCTTTTGAAACTTTGGCAATTTCTACTAAAAGGATTGTCCAAGTTAAGTACCCTAGTTTTTAATGCCATGAAACAGCATATCATAAATTCTGAAGGTGTAATTTATGAAATAAAGAGCAGTTATGATCTAAAGGGTATAAAAATTTACAAAAAAAAAAACCCTTCATATTTATTTGTTTACTTTATTAAACATTTCTTTCAATGCACGCATGCGTAAAGCATACATTACGCATAGCAGAAATTAGATAATTGCAACGAGAAAATTATTTTATTTATATTCGTGATATTGATAATGACGAGGAGTTTGATTTAAATCATATCAAAGATCGAGTACATCGAGATGAAATACTACATTTAGTAAGGAATTATAAGCCAAATAAAATAAAAACATCTGGCCTGAAGATAAGGATAGTGCTGACAGATCAACTTCTAGTTCATTGCGCGCTGTTACGCCCCCCCCCTATTTCTAGCATAAGTGTAATTCGGCTAGTAAATTGTTGGAAAAAGTGTTCAGTATATAAAAAGAAAAGAAACATGTCTTTACTTCGTGAAGAAAAAATGGCGGCGAAAAAAAATAGAGGGTTGCTGTAGCAGAGTTGGTCGCCAAATTTTCGCCAAAAAATCATCAAGTTACCATAATCCAAAGATCAACCGGTCGATGTGTACATGGATACCGAGTCTGTGCAATTCTTAAAAACGTGTCAAGCAGTGGGCGATTCTGCACTTTACCCAAAATTCTATTGCACACTTTTCATCACGGGCAATTCCCAAATTGTTAAATCCACAGGATATCAAAAAAGAATTTAAAATCAAAAAAGGATTGAAAAATTAAACTAGTATTTCAATGGTGTCTTGAGAAATATAGAACCATATAAACTTACGCAATCTGAAATAAGCTCGTACGCTAGATTTTTCGCGCTGTTGAATGGACGCATTTGCTAGATTTCGCGCTTTTGCGCATACATTTTCGCTGCAATTTTTTATGATTCTCAAAATGGAACAGTACCCAAAAAATACACTCATTCATCTGTACTACATAAGAACTATCACCAAAAATTCACATAAATATTCACTGTTTCTAAATTATAGCATCTTTAACTCCGTAATGAACAACAATTTCAATAACTAACAAGGTATACTAAGTCAAACAACAAAAATCAGCTGTAAAAATTTTGAAAATATAACGCTGATTTTTGTTGCTTGACTTCTGAATTAGTATTTATTCGGCATGTTATTGTGTCTTAATAACAAGGTATACTTTGATACATTTATGTTTGAATTTAATGTCTCTTAAGTTGAGAAAATCCTAGCGCTTTACTTAACGCATTTAAATTACTGATTGATATTAAAGATAATATACATAATTTTGCTGTAATGATAATATACATAATTTTGCTCTAATCTGTAAAAAACGACTGTAATTTTATTGAATATATTTATAAACAACACAGCATAAATTTCATTAAAAAAATACACAAGAATATCAGTCTTTTAGCACTACTACCAAACCAGCAGATCAAATTGATTCAACACTTTGGTCAATAACAGTACCCAGGAGAATTTAAAATAGTTAAAACATATTACAACAAGTCCATCCACTAATTTTTTAATCTCACACTACACATTAGACAAGTTGTCAAGTTAATTACACACCACTAACAGTATATATCATGCTGCACATTCGTTATGTAAACTTTCAGGTCTTATGATTATGGTCTTATCTTAAATAAAAATAAGAAAATAAACTATAAATAAAAAAGGTGCATAATTAAATTTTACTAAATCTTCATAAACACTACTAAATATTTAAGAATTTTTTATTTCTCAGAGAAAGCGAAAATTACCATGTGCGTTTGGGGTATAATTCTGCTATGGGGCAGAGTTGCAGAACAAAATAACAATATATAAACAAAAAGCTAAGTTTCAATATAAAAAATTATGAATTTCAATTAGTTACAATTATTCCTCAAAAACTCAGAAACTACCTCGAGCATTTTTGAGTAAACGGTACATAACATCCTAATCAAAAACCTAAGCTTTGATTTTGAATTGAACATCAGCTGATGATGTTTCTGTACATAACATTAAAAGTAAATCCATAACTATACATCAACATTAATAAAATAAACTGCAAACAAGGTTTAAAATTTAAGAATTTTAAATAGTTACACTTATTCCTCTAAAACAGTGAAATCACCACGTGTATTTTCAAGCATACCATAAACAACACCCAACACAAAAGCTTTCTGATTTCAAGTTGAAACTTGAATAAATGCCTGATGATGATCTTTCGTTACACAGCAATAGGGAAAAGTTGAATCAATTTCGAATTATGCATCCTTTTTCATAAAAAGGACTGAAAAAAGTAAAAAATAACTCGAATAAAGTAAGGAGAATTACCTAACTATAACAACTTCAAAAGACACGCTATTAGCAATCAATAGCACCTCCGCCATATTTGGTAAAGATAAAGAAATGCAACAATGCCTAACTTTGATTTTATATAATGAGATTCTGTATTATACTCAAATATTCATTAACTTTTATGTTTAATTAAATAGTGCAATAATCAATCTCTATCAGTCTTACAAAACAATGCTTTACGTAAGCCTAACACATTTTTCTATCAACTCAGATATGCGTAGTGTAAATAACAAACAGAATTGATACTATACAATATTTTACCATACCTTTCGTTTCTCCAAATTCCTCATTTTCTTCTCAAGCATATTGACAACTAACTTTAAAGGATCATTAGCCTCAGAAGAGGCTACTTTCTCGACTTTAGCAGCAGCGGACGGCATTCTCCTAACAGTAAGATGCAACTAGACAGATCGTTGTTATGATCGTAAGTCCCAGAGAGAAAAACCACATTTTACGTTACTGTTGCCATTCCCCAAAACAAAAGAGTTACGATTTATTGGCAGATGATTGGAATAGAAACTTAATAAGCTTGTGTTTTCCAGTTTTACCTGCAAATATCAAATACTAAGTATTAGCAATATGATTTTATTTATTTTTGTTTATATACATTGCTGATTGTCTACTTTTAAATTTGCTTGTTTCGAAAGAAGTTTTTCAAATTGTTTTTAGTAAAGGAAAAAAAAAAAAAAAATCTGAAAGCTTTCAGATTTTATATGACCAATCGGACATTTTTTTTAACATTTTGTGTGTTACCTTTATTTATTAAACGTCATATTCTTCTCACATAAACCATAAAATTCAGCTCAACAGTAATATCACAAAATAATTTAAAAAGAGCATATCTTTAGAATTTCCGATACACAGTATCACGCGCTGGAGATATATTTATTCCCCGTACAGTGTTGCCATTGCTCCCTTTGCATCGAGTCTGTTATTAAAAATTCTTTTAAGTTTTGCGAGATTTGAAATAGATAATAAAACAAACTCCAAAATTCCAAATTTGGTCTTCCATATGCCTATATTCGAGTAGAGGATTACGTTATTCAAAATTTGATGTCTCTACGTACATTCATGCAAAATTTTCACTACTTAATTTCTTTAAATATAATGCGGGAATCTACTATTTGGTGGCAAGAACTTAAAAAGTGAAACGCCATTTGTAGTGAACCAGTGCGAAATGCCAAAACGAAATTAACTGCGCAAACTGTTCCTTTGGTCTAATAATAAAATATAAGTCTAATAAAGTATTTTTTCCCGAAACGTTATAAAAAACTGAATATTATACTATATTATAGACGAAAATATCGATTTTTGTCTATCGAATAAGTCGACAGAAAAAAAAAATTGCTTTAAAAGGACTCGATGCAAGAAAAAGGTTTCCATTCCCTGTATCATTGAAAAGAATAGTAGCGGACTTAGTTCCGATGTTTATGCTGCCGAGTTTAAAATTAACTGTCTAGTTCGGTGTTCGACACCTTTCAGTTTATGCCGATAATTCTTGGCTCGGCTTTGCTGTATGCAGTCGATTTTGCGTTAGTTAAGGTAAGGAGCCAGTTATCAGAATTGCTTAATTTATTATTGAATTGCTACATTCTTATTTTCTGTTACGTAGCCGCAAGTGGTGGTGATTTGCCAGCACGGTTTCATCTGTTTTAATTTAAGATTTAAATAAAAAGGTTATTTAAATCATTTCATCTACAGTATTTATAACAGACATAGCGAGAATTCGCTACTTAGTCTTCGACATAGGATGACCCTTTGACGCGCGGTGGTCGCTCCCTGAAACCACCAATTTCCTCCTCTTCTTTGCGAAATTTTTGAGTGAAAATCGATTGATTACTGATCTTTTACCTCCAATTAACGCAAAATGACCGCAGAATCATACATATTTTAGGTCTTAGTACTTGAAATCGGATGCCTTTTATAATTCGTTTTCAGTGAGACAAAATAACTTCCTTTTATTAATATAAATAACTTTAAATTTTATAAGTTATTCATCGCACATCCTGATTTCTATCACAAACAATAAAAAATAGGAATAATTAACTGCATATATTAAAAAAACCTTTATATGTATGGCATTTTCTTTGTGGTTTCAGGACGCAACCACTGTCCCACTAGAGCATGCTCACAATGCTCTAGAGGCTCGTTCGTGCCTTGAAACCACTACTCTTCACAATGGCGTTTGCTTGCTTCTCAAATAGGAATGTTTATTTTTACCCAGATATAGATAAGGAGTTTTGAAACCACAGAGTTATTTTATTACTAAACAATACATGCACCTGCCCAGTAAAAAGGTCTTTCTTTTCCAGAGACTTTTCTTTGACCTCAGCACGCTTGCTCCCCAAGCTAGTATTGTGATTTTATAAATTATTTCCTGTGGTTTAATTTAATGCAAATATACTTTGCTATAATTAAAAATAGAAATCGCTTAAAGTTTTATTTAAATTTAAAATATTTTCTGAATATTTGGGGACCAAATACGAATAAAATAAGTATGAATTGGAAACGAATGATCCGTACCAAAGGCAAAAAGACCAAGCCCCCCTTTAACATAAAAAAACACAAATTTCATGTGCCAGATGAAAAGAAAGTAAATAACGCTGGACATATACCAGTGAAATTTAAATCCAGCAGTATACATTTTGTAGCGTAAGGAAGAAACCTCATAGAAGATATATGTGCAAAACGTGCAATATGGGTTTATGCATGTACCAAAAAGACAAAACATGCTTTGAACAGTGTCAAAAAACTTGCTCTTTGAAATTACCAAAAAAAAGAAAAAAAAAAGGCCTGAGTCTTTTTTTCTTATCCTTATTTTACTGATTTTTTTTATTCATTTAGACAAACATCCTTATTATGCAAGTACTTATATTTTCCCTGCTACAGAAAAATTACATAAATGTTTATTTTTAAATTTTTTCTGACGATTTACTTTGTAAAATAATGTAAAAAAATTATATATAATGCAATTCTTACATACATTTTTTTAAAATTCGTAAATTTCGTCATCTATTGGAAACGCGCACGAAGAAAGGTAAATTTTTTTCCCTACTACCTCAGTTAGTTTCAAAGTTCTAGACGTGCGGTGTTTTCACAGTGCGACCACCACCCACAGAACAATGGGCAAAAGTAGATTTTTTTAAAATTCATATATTATTTGTCTCTAGGATCATAATATTCAATTTCTAGAGTTTTTAGTTTAAAAAATATATAAAAATAATATCGCGCGCGTCAAAGAGTTAAGAGTGTATTATCCCAAAGAATACACGAAAACTCTATAGAAGAGCTAAGTGGCATGAACAGTATTTACAAGGGAATATGAAAAATGTCTTTGTGGTTCAATCTCGCGTCAAAAGTTGGTTAAAACGTTTTGTCTTATGGCAGAGTTCCGTTGGCAGACATCATCTACTGTTGCGAAATCTAGCCCATAGATGGCGTTCATATCCTGTAAGGATTATGTTAATTTTATTAACAGTTAAATTTTAAGTTAAAGTTCCTTTCCTTACCTTCAACTTACTACTTCCGGCCAGAACGTAGTTTTGGAATCTCACTGAATATTTAATGAGGATGAGCGGTATTTAAACCCCGAAGTTACTGAGTCAGAGAGAATCAGAGTTTCGGATTTACGCGCGTCTGCCTTTTTGGCCTCTCTCTATCTCTCAAAGCCGTCATTACGCTCGGCCGTATCAGGCGTCACCATCGAGATAGATAAGGCCTGCGCGCTGAGTTATTACGTCACTTCTAAGGGACCGGTCTTCGCGCAGTTTAGCTTCCTTGCTAAACACCCGTTTTTCTAAACCTGTTCTATGAAATTGGTATCTCATACTATAAAATCAGTCTAAAACAAAATTACAAGTGGCAATATAATGTTTTACAAAGCTTATACGAATATGAAATATTTTCATTTTCTTTTGTTGCTATTTATTTTCAAAACAAAATTATTTGATAATGGTGTGGTGCTTTTAAAAGCAAATCATTTCTTTGAAGAAAAATTGGTTTTAAAATTCAAGTAGCTAAAATTTTTACTTTGATTTTTCTGCACTGTTTTTGTGTCTCTCGTTGATTCTCATCACCGCATCAAATTTTTTTGTTTCACCCACTACTTTAACAAAATGTTTGCCAGTGGGAACACATGTTATCTCTCATTCTATAATTATTGCATATTTTTATATCTATCATATTAATGTAGCAGGATTATAAAATATCAAACAAATGCAAGAGACTACTTATATTTAGACTAACATTTAAATGCCTGTATATCAGTCAGAAAATTTTTTTGAATGTAATAATTACTAAATAGTCTAGTCTTAAAATTATTTCTTACTTATATATTGTATGTTAATCTGATTACAGTTAATGTTTTCCTCTTAATGCTACATAATTATTCGACAGAATCTGTAGTTAAATTGAGATAATGTTTATTTTACATAGCTCTGAAGACTATCAATATTAAAATTCCAAATAAGACAGGAAAAAAGTTTTTTTAAATAAAGTTATACACAATTTTTTTGAAAATATTTTTAAAGTATACGAAATACTTAAAAACTTTTAGAAACTGAAATTTCTTGCAAATATTTACATCATCCTATTTAACCATAAGCGTTACCTCTGTTCTGAAAATATTTTTTCTATTAATATCCACATGAAAAGAAAAATAAATCCTAACTTTATGTTCAAAACTTTTCTGTATAATGTAAGCAATTTTTAACTTAACTTACATAGCTTTTGGTGGTGCCACGTACTCAAATTAAAGATTGTAATTTAAAAAGATAATTAAAAAATTGTTTTTAAAATTGCATGAATTGAAATACAATTAAAACAAGTATGTCTACATATGAATTCAATACTACTGCTTCTTCAATAACTGTACATTTTTAAAATTTCATTTTGCAGTTTCGCAATTTAATTACCTTAATATGAATCTTACATACATTACTTTAGAAACTTTTCTGTCGTTCTCAGAAAGATTTATATTGTATAAAAAATTTTAAAACAACTGATTGCATGATAATAACATATAAAAGTGAACAGAAGTTATATTAGCGCTAAACATATGCATTTAAGTTTCATCATCATGATAAAATGATATTTAATGATTTGCAAAAAACATTGATATTTAAAATTTAAGAACACAGTACTCTGTCAAGAATCAAATTTACTCTGCATTTGATATTCTACATATTATGTAATGAAATAAGTGTTATGCTTTTAACCCCTTAGGACAGTTATTTCATATACAATTAGTTTCCAATTAAAATAATAATCATAATTTTTGCTGACAATTTTTATATTACTAGTGTTAGTAATTATTACAAGGGATGATGCTTCAGATGTCAAAAGTAAACATAAATTCAATTCGTAAAACATAATGAATAAAAAATTACAACTTATAAAAGCCAACAAAAAGTTTGCTGAGGGTCCCTTAACTGTG